AAACATCAGTGGAGCGAAGAGAGAAAAGATCGTTTATCACTTAAAAAATATTTTTTAAGATCTTTGCTATATCATTTCACTGAGCTTCTGTAAACTCACATCTGTGTTATGAGTAAAAACAACGGTCCGGTGAATGGATGAAATTTGCATTTCATTATTTAACATTTCAGCTCGCACAATAGTGCAAGTTTAATCTGTTGCTATGGGATACGGCTAAACGAAAGACTTACAGAAACTTGAAGGGCACTATTTAAGATTTGCACAGAGCCTGTTCATATACCCACAGATAGTGGACACACCGTATAATGGGCTGATATTTAGAAAAGGTGAATTCTAATACCCAACAACTACTGAATGGTTCATGCAGAAATATATAGCTGCACAAACTTCAAATAATTTCAGTTTGTTTTGCCCAAAATCTCAGCTTTAAGAATAAAACCAAAAAATATAGTCCAAAAATAACGGATGATGATTCACCTTCATTGGAGGTCAAAGCAATAATGTTTACATAGTGATGCAGAATGTGTTTGTGTGGTATGCAGGGGACCACGTCTGGCTAAATGAGGCTCTCTGAAGTACAGGATCTGCTTGAGGATGCAGGGGAGTGTACAATATGGTGAGTCCTTTGAAGGGAGGACAATGACAATCAGAAGAGGTTAGCAGGATGACATCAGCATCTTGCCACTCCATTCCAGTGGTTAGATAAGCACTGCAGTCCGTATCATATTAGTTTGATATAGATTCTTTTCAATGTTCTTTATTTTCATATTGCACAAAATAATTTACATACTGCTGTCTTAATCTTTTCTTTTTCTTTTCATTACTTCCCCTCAACTTTATCACATCTGTCCACATCTGCGCCATCCACTGCAGTGCCAGTGACTCTGGACCCAAACACTGCAAACCCCAAGCTTATCTCGTCTGAAGGTCTGACCAGCCTGAGAGCACGTGGTGAGAGTCGGCAGCTCCCTGACAACCCAGAAAGGATTAACGGCTACGAAGGGGTCCCGGGCTCGTAGGGATTCAGCTCTGGGAAACGTCCGTGGGATGTTGAAGTTGGACTTAACAATGATTGGGTTGTGGGTGTGGCCAAGGAATCGGCCAGGAGAAAAGAGGAGTATGAATTATCTCAGGAGAATGGATTCTGGGCAGTATGGAGGGATAATGGTTACATAAAGACTTCAGGAAAGAAAATAAAACATCTCCACAATAAGCAATTGCAGAAAATCTCAACTGTCAGAAGGGGAAAGTGTCATTCTTTGACCTGACTAACAACACCACTATCCACACTTTCACAAACAAATTCAATGAGAGAGTGTTCCCATCTTTCTATAAATATGGACAAAATCCTCTTATAATTATTATAGTTGCTATCAGGGGTTGCATGACTTAAGATTTTTTAAAGTTGACAGGTACGTCATGAAAGTAGAACCAACGGGTTTCAACTCAGCAGCAGCAATTTACTGTATGCAAGAAATACCACTTGTATGTTATAACTTCCATTTAAGTGCAAAAGAAGAAAGATTGAAATGTCGGTGTAACACATGGGGAGGAAAACCAAACTCACGCAAGTTTTTCTTGAGAGCAGCGGGCCAGATAGCGGCGGGCCTGAGAATGGTGGCAGGCCTGAAAGCGGCCGGCCTGAGATCAGCAGGGCCTGAGAATGGTGGCGGGCCTGAAAGCGGCCGGCCTGAGATCAGCAGGGCCTGAGAATGGTGGCGGGCCTGAAAGCGGCCGGCCTGAGATCAGCGGGGCCTGAGGGTGGCAGGCCTGAGAGCAGCGTTGAGACTGGCAGTCAAAGATTATTGCACTTCTGCATAACTCAGGAGAATCTGGCTGCAGAACACTGGGTGACCTCCTCTAGGTGGAATTCAACTGAGAGGCCAGAAATCACATGACCTCCACACCTGACGCAGATGTGACGTCAGGCAAACTTCAGGAACTAAGGTAGTGCCTCTACTAGGAGGCTCCAAATCACATGACCTCCACAACAGCACTAGAAATGAGGTTAGTGCAACACCAGGAACTGAGTATAATCGTCTCTTTTAAGGTTAATGTTTTGCTATTGTATAGCCATTCAAAGATTCCAAACGTAATGGTTACCATAAATTAAACAGCCATAAAAAATGAAGCTCGAGAGCATACAGTAACAGACTAGGTATTCTCCTGGAGCAATTCAGAGTTCATATACCTTGTTAAAGGTTACCCAAGACTTTAAACCACAACTTCAACCATCTGTATTTGGATTATATGCTTTACTCCTCAGGCATAATTCTGTTTGCTACTTAGTTTTATTGGTTGCCTTTACCCTACAGTGTATATGAAACTAAATGCACAACACAAAAAAAAAAATCAACATTAACAATGGGAATGACCATAGCAAATTTAAAAACACTGCAAAAAATTCATGTAATACTTTACTTAAAGCTACCAGAGCTTAAAAATTACTCAACCAATGACACAGAGGATAGGTTAAGATTATGCTGTGAACTGAGATTTTTGAACAGAGGTATGATCCGAGTTCCATCTCAGGTATGTTAGTGAAGATATTATTCAGTTTCAGAGTCAAATAACCTTTTGTATCTGGATGGTTCTCAGGATTTTAGTTTACACAACCCTTCTTTAAAGCATATTTATACTGATAAGGCTTCTCTCCTTTTACAATTATTTACATTTTTATGGTGGAAAAACTGAAAAATGTACCAAATCGTGACATAACCAGTTGATGATGCCAGAAATCGTGGTTCACTTTTCTTTTCTCCAAATCACTTATTATCGCAGGTATGTGTTGGATTGTAGGATAAATATTATGATTGGTCAAAGTAATAATAATAAAAAAACAGATAACCAATCATCAAACCCTGAGTTTTATTCAACAACAGACTGCAGACTCACTGGTTCAGAGGAGGTGACACAGCGATACCTGTCGTATCACAACTCAAGATCGATCGACTCCTCTGCCTTCAAAGAAATGCAGAGAGTGGAACTTACAGCTGTATAAAACCAGTGCACCACCCTCATAGCAAAAGCCTGTAATCCCTCCCAACCGCAGGGAGCGAGAGACTGCCAGTGCTTCCCTTTTACAGTAACGCTTTATGTAAGACCAGTTAATGCCAAACAATGTGTAATATCAGTGGAATTGGCCCCGTACTTTTACCATCCGGCCTTACGGTCTACTGCTTAATTCCAGCTTGAGCTTAGCCTTTGCGCTGCAATAAAACAGTACATAAAAAGGATTTGGAGAAGACCAAGAAAAGATCAAAGGAGGGCAGATTTTGACTTTTGAGGTGAACGCGTCTGTGTAGAGGGGCTAATGTAAATCTAGCGGTTTATGGCAAAGTCTCCTAAGACTTCATTCAGACATCAGGCTTCCCCCAGACTTAATGTGACGTGTGGGCCGGCACTGAATGCTGAGGGAATTAGGCGTGAGGTAACGCAATCTAAATGCATTTTACGGTCATCATGCAAAACTTCAAAGGTAAAGAGAAGAGGAATCATTTATCGTTTAAGATGAGAAAATGCTCCTATTTCACACTCGGTATTAGGGCGTTGGCTGCTTGCTGTAGTTGTCGTGTTCCATTATCGTTTATGTTTTTATACAAAGGCTTCTGTCATTTGTGCATTTCTATGTATATGGTGTCTAGTTCATATGATTGAATTTTCTATGTATATTTTCTGCAGACTTGCATTCCCTTTCAGCTTTATCTTTATTGGTATTTGTGCGTGGGGGGAGGGGCTTAATGGTTACCGCCTCAGCCACACACCTTCTGTGTTTGCCACATGTGTAAGGAATTTGCACGAGGGCCAACCAAGTGACAGAGGTCTAAGGGCACCGTCTGATTAGGGGCCACAAAAGAGTGATTAAAAAAAAATCAGAAGGAAAACCTCTGGTCGCATACTGTGACATTGCAGTTATTTACACTAACTTTAATATTTCACTGCCTTTCTTGGGACACAGATGCTAATTAGCTAGTTAACAGCCAGGTACCCTGCGCTACTGAAATGTTTTTAATAGGCCTATAAGTGAATTGACAAAATTTGTTTTTTTGCTGCTCTGGGGAGTTTGGGGAGCTCAGCAGAATCTCCTCTAGGGCTCCAAAACAGCCAGGACCAGCCCAGGCTTGAACCTACCTCCTACAGTCCAGAGCCGTGTGGTTAGATGAATTGCTGACTCTAAATTGCCCATAGCGTGTGTGTACTGTATGTGTGTGTGTGTGTGTGTGTGCACATGTGCACTATGACAGACTTCCATCCCCTACTGGGTTTTCCCCATTCCTCGGTTAAGCTCCAGCTTCCCTGTGGACGTGGACTAGATCAGCACTGATGAAAAATGGGTGAATTTTTAAATTCCCTTCGGAACATCACCGTCATTCCCTGTAATGACATTCCACTACCACCCCTGAAAATGTCCTGTGCTACACTCTATTTTATTGATATATGAGGTGATACATATATCAAGGGGTACACAGTATGTACTACAAGAACAGTATATGTAGGATAATTTTGTGTATATCACCATGAACATTTTCATGGCCCTGGTGGTTAATAAACCCCGTTTTCTTGTGAGTCTCTCTGTGGATTGTTCCTGTCCTCCCTTATTCACCAGGCCTCGCCATAACAGTCCTTAAGAAGAATTTGAAACTTTATAAAGTTTTTTTCATGATTCAAGATTTGATTTGTCACATACGCAGTTACACAGGTACCACTTTCAGGGAGAAATGTAAAATGTTTTAATGAGATAAATGTATCAGAACATTAACTGTTCACTCTTCAAGAATTGGCCGAAGTACAAGGAAGAATGAACAATTCCTGGTAGCCGTAGCAAAGTTCTTTAAGATGTTTAAGATAAGATAAACTTATCTTAGTCGCAGGGGAACTTCACAAAAATAAAACATTTATGAAACCAGTCTCCACCCATTATGAACCAGGAAATTTGCTGTTCTTTAAAAATCGATCATCCAGCTTTCGCTTTTAGTGTTTGTTTGTCGGTTTCCGGATTCTCCTTCTTGGTTAAAAGCCCAGAATCAGAAAATTCAAGGTGTATTTACGCTTAATTCTTAAAAAAAAAATAAAAAATAGAGTACATAGCTGAAAGAAGGAGCAACGACATTGATGAAATGGCATACAGATACCATCTTCCCGAGCAGGACCTAGTGTGTCCTATTTGCTTCGACATCTACACGGATCCAGTCGTCTTGTCCTGCAGCCATAGTTTTTGCAGAGTTTGTACAGAGCAATTCTGGGACGGTAATGGATGTCAGCAATGTCCAGTCTGTATGCAAAGGTTCATTAACTGCGAATTGCTCTGTAACCGAGCTCTGAAGAACCTCTGCGAGGCTTTCAAAAGTCAGAGATCCCAAATAACGGAAGACTCTCAAGGACTTTGCCTTTTACATGGGGAGCAGCTTAAGGTCTTCTGCCTTGTAGAGAAAGAGGCCATATGTGTTGACTGTCTCACACAAACGCATAAAGGTCACAAGATCTGTTCAACAGGAGAGGCTGTCCGGCACTATAAGGTGAGAGTATTAGGAATAGTAACTATGGTGGAGCACAACACAGACAACTGCTGAACTATTTTCATTTTCCTTTATGCAAAATGTAGAAAAATTACAGTACTGTGCAAAGGTTTTAGGCAGCCAAAGAAAATGATGTTTGAATGATCTTCATGTTCATGTAAAATTGTGCTATTATGCCTGTCAAAGTGTGTTAGTTTAGCCATCTCAAAACTTCTGCTAAAATCACCCCAGTATTTGTAGCGAACCATACAGTACTGCCATGACTCGACCACTAGCAGACCTCGTGTAACTAATCAATATATCACTGACTTTTTTTTAGCTAATTAAATTAATTAATGAAGTGAGCTGGGGGTGAGATTTAATAAATACGTGTAATAGCTGGGGTGCTACTGAGGAGAGATGATCATCTAGTCATGCAATCAGATATTAGAAGCTTTTTGCGATGGTGGTGCAGGAGGTAGTGCTACCGTTCGGCAACCGGAGGGTTGCAGGTTCAAGCCCCGGGTCCTCCTGACCCCATCGAAGTGTCCTTGAGCAAGACACTGAACCCCAAATTGCTCCTGGTGAGCTGGTTGGCACCTTGCATGGCAGCCTCCGCCACCGGTGTGTGAATGTGAGTGTGGATGGGTGAATGTGAGGCATACATTGTAAAGCGCTATATAAATGCAGTCCATTTACCATTTTTGGAGCTTTTTTTCTAGTTTGTATTGTGTTATTCTTAATTTGCATTTCTTCTAATGCTAAATTGTGTTTTTTGTCTTGAGCAAAAGTGCACTTACTACACAGATAGATAGCTTTAGGCATTGCTTTTGACTGCCTATGACTTTTGCACAGTAATTTGCATGATGGATAAAGCATTTTTTCCTTTCAAAGTAAAGTTGCACCAGTTTGCTAACCATCAGTAGTGTTAGAGGGAATCTAAATTATGCAACAAGATTACTGCAATCCTTCAAACAACTGACCCCGTTCAGCAATTGTTCCCGGACTCCCCCTATTTCATTTGGTTTATTCCAATGGAATGGGTGTGGAGCTATTGTAGTCAATGATAAAAACATCAGTGAATTTTACTATGTATTTAACTCTAGTGATGAATTACAAGGTTCTAGTCCTTTAGCTGTCAACATAAGCATTATGGCATTCCGAAAAACATTTGTTTTTAAACCACATACTTTTCGCACAGTATGAGCATGGTAGCAGAATCCATCTATCTTAGCCACATAATCAGTATTGGGTCACATGGGGTGGGAGCCCACTCCAGGCAGGAAATGATGTCATCACAAGTCAAACGCCAGTTCGACGAACACCATGGCTGTGTCCAAAAAGGCTGCTTTGGGAAACTGACTGCCTCACAGCAGCGTGGCAAGGCTGTCCGATTTCGAATGTGGTTTAGAAATGTGTCTCTTTTTGACAAGTCGCGAAGGATCCATCCGATAGATCTTTCACAGCCCAATGTATCCCAACATTCCTTGCAAAGTGGGCGTGTTCCGGCAGTAGGACCAGAGCTTTGTGACTCAAGGGTAAGGGCGGGAATGGCTGGTGACTCAAATAGGAAATTATCCGTAGGCCAGACTGTTCCAAAGGCTATGCCTTCCTAGACTGCGTCCTTCGCAGGTTGCGGCCCCTGGATTGTAGGAGGAAACCCACACAAAGGGGTTAGTATACAAACTCCACATCGAGAACCCAGGGGGGAATCAAAACCTAGCCTAAAATATGGGGGTGGTGTGTGGCTCAGCTAAGCCTCTGTGCCTGTGACCAGAAGGTTGCTAGTTCAAGCCCCAGCCTTGACAAGATAGATTCATGCATGTGGGCCCACGAATAAGACCCTTAACCACCAGTTCCCAAGGTGCTGCAGGATGACTGGTCTCCCAAGCTTTGCTCTCACCTACCATCAGGAAGGAGACTCTGTGTGCCCAAGCAAATCACTTAAAATTATGATTTGTCCCAGACTCATATTTATAGACTCCCAAGCTGATGAACAATGTGTATGAGAACAATGTGCAATAAATATGCTAGCACTTTACAACAATGCTTGCACTTGTGATTTTCTGCAGTGAGCTTCAGTATAAAGCAACCATACATATGTCCAAGCAAAATTTCCCCATGGGGAAAATAAAGTTTAACCTAAGCTAAGCTAAGCGGAGCTAAGCTAACCTAACCTAAGCTAACCTAAGCTAACCTAGCCTAAGCTAACCTAGCCTAAGCTAACCTAACCTAAGCTAACCTAACCTGCATGTGTGTCTCATGGAGAGCATGGTGGGGTACAGAGAATTTCCTCGCAGCAATTAATAAAATACCACTGTTCTGTTCTTCTGTGATGCCCGTTGAGATAGCGTGCCAACCAGAACTATCAATGTTAAAATCAGAAAACCTTTGGTTTATTTCAGGGGGAACTCCGGAATGTACTGAAGAACATCCAGGAAAGGAAACAGCTTTTCCACAAAGTAAAATCTACATTTCAAAATACAGTGAAGCATATAGAGGTACTGTCTTAATGCAAAGTTCACTGTACATGAATTATTCCATTGCGCACGTGTGCAGAGATTAATAAGCAGCCCTCTGCAGGTACAAACCAGGCACACAGAGCAACAGATACAAAGGGAATTTCAGGACCTTCATCAGCTTCTACTAGACCAGGAGGCGGTCAGAATTCTAGAGCTGCGTGAGGAGGCTGAGAAGAAGAGAACTGCAATGAATGAAAAGATTCAAGAGCTGACCGAAGAGATTTCCTCTCTCTCAGATACTATTTGTACCATAAAGCCACTGTTTACGAGTGATAGCATCTCAGTCCTGCAGGTAATAGCCATGCCCTTGTCATACTGTGCTTCAAAATCATGTAAATATATGTTTCGATGTTTAATTTAGTCTCACAACACATCCAGCTCGCCCACTCCAGAATCATTTTCTCTTAGGTTAGATTTTTTCCACATAAACTGCTTGCGTGTTTAAATAAAGTTTGTTATCGTGTATTCAAGAGCTGTTGGGTTCGAGCCCACTGCAATGTTTAGGATTTTAAACTTCAATAATTATTTTGCTTCTCTTTATAATATGAATACTCTTTTTTTCTCATTTACAGGAGCATTTTACCATAGCAAAAAAGTACGTAAAGCACTTCACTCTCTATCCATCTCTGATGATCGACGGTGCCTTATAACGTTTGTCTTCTCAACGTCACTGCAGATCCAGTCATGAAATACAGAATTTAGAGGTGGGTCCGAGAGCTTTGATCAATGTGGCCCAGTACCTGAACTCTCTGAAGTACAAGGTCTGGATGACGATGATGCAGACTGTACAACATGGTGAGTCCTGGGGCAAAATGGCAAGTGGGGAGGAAGTCGGGAGGCTGGAGTAAACACCTTGTAGCTACTGCATATTGCTAACTGGCCTGTTTTACGTTTTATTTATTTAGTCCAGGAGTCTCCAACTCCGGTCCTGGAGAGCTGCTATCCAGTAGGGTTTCTGTCCCACTTGGCTTCTGATGAGCCACACCTGCTCCTGGTATTTACCTGAGAACAGGTGTGGCTCATCAGATGCCAGGTAGGATAGAAAACCTACTGGATAGTAGCCCTCCAGGACTGGAGTTGGAGACCCCTGCTTTAGTAGATGCTTTTATCTAAAGCAGTGTACAACTGAGAAAGCATGGTCAGACAGTCCCCGGAGCAATTATGGTTAAGGACCCACCCAAGGGTAAAATCAAACTCTGGGATTTGAACCAACAACCTTCTGACTACAGACATCTAAACTGTTAGGCCACACAACACCCACCGTTTATAAGGTACCACAGGGTGAAGCAGGGGGTGTTTCTGGCCAGTTTACATTGCCAGCAGACAGTCTCCCCTTAATTTTCAGAGAATTTGGACATGTTTTTGTGAAGATATACGGCGAAAAGCATTTTTTTGCAGCGTGAAAGTAAATTTCTTTATTGTACTTCTTTTTCATTTACTGAGCTGTGTGTGTCAGTCACCAAATCCAATGTGGACAGTCATAGACGAAAAAAATACAGCTGACCATCTAATTGGTGGGGGAAGAGAGAAGTTTGGCAAGGAAGCAGAATGTGCAATTAATAAATAGATTAGTATCAGAGTTATGCATACAGAGTCATTAGTCCTTCTAACAGACCCAGTATCAGGCTGGGAAAATGTTCAGCAGTCATACAGTCTGTGGAGTAAAGCTGTGTTAAGCCCCACTGTCCTGGCTTTGGGGCTCTTCACTCACAACGCGCACCCCCTTCCTCTACAGTGCCCGTGACTCTCGACCCAAACACTGCAGCCCCCCAACTCATCTTGTCTGAAGATCTGACCGGCCTGAGAGCGACCGGTGAGAATCAGCAGCTCCCGAACAACCCAGAGAGGATTATCGGCTACGAAGGGGTCCTGGGCTCCGAGGGATTCAGCTTCGGGAAACACAGTTGGGTGGTTGATGTCGGGAGTAACACCGAATGGGCTCTGGGTGTGGCGAGAGAATCCATAAAGAGGAAGGAAGTGATTGCAGCATCTCCAGAAGAGGGATTCTGGGCTATAGGGTGGTCTTCTGGTAAATGTTTAACCGCAACCTCACCACCAACATGTCTTACGAAGCAAAGACTTGAGAGAATCAGGATTAAGCTGAACTTGGAAAAGAGGACTTTGAAATTCTATGACCACACCAAAAATACCCCTCTGCACACCTTTACACCTAAATTCACTGGCAAACTTTTTCCTTATTTCTTCACAAACCAAGGCCACCCTCTCATAATTCAGCCAGAAAATGTATCTGTCACGTCACAATAGCTTACGGGATAATGCATCCATCTTCTGACTTGCACTGGATCTATGGGCTTTGGCGGGGCCTGGAGAATCGCGCAAGCAGCATACAGTGCAAGGAAGAGGTACACTCTGGATGGGGTGCAAACCCATAGCAGGCAGTATGTACCATTTAGGAAAAATAACAAACCTAACTGCAGGTGTTTGGACCATTGTAAACAAAGAGCAGGGTATAATCTGAATCCCCGAACCTGAATGTATGATGCAGTAGTGCTTTCCACTACCTTATTGAATGACAGTCTCTCTTATAGAAATTCTCAGTAAAATGTAAAGAATTGCTGAACCATGACACAACATTTGAATGCATAGTTAATAAACAGCTAGTGAAAGCTATTCAAGCAACAATTCAAGTATCCAATGCCATAGGATAGTGTTTGAAGATGGGAGGAAAAGAACTTAGTGATGTAAATACAAAGGTCTGTTTACTGGGGGATAAATTAAGCCGAATTAAATACTTGGGGGGGGGGACCCATCAACATGTTCTCTTGTTGAATTATATTTTCAGTTTCCAATTCTCCTGCATCCTGCACCGACCTTTATGTCTCACGGCATCAGTGCGAAAGATCAAACTGTATTTAAAATATATAATATCACTGGAATGAGCTCTAGGTTTTATACATTTGCAACAGACATGCTGTTTTTTTGTTTTTTTTAAAAAAGTGAATTCATGAAGTTTTTGACAAGACATTAAGACAACTTCTTGACGTTAAGGGTTTATTAGATATACACGAGGTTACCCCCCCCTTCCCTCTGGAGAAAGCACCTGTCAAATTAATTCATGTAACAGCGAAATGTAAAATGGAATAATGACACTCAGTCTGTTTTTTTAAGGGAATTCATTAAATGATTTGACCTTTTTTGTTGGCCAGACTCGGCTGTTTGTTGTGTAAAGTATCTCTGAACCAGCAGATGAGTGACCTTAGTTTCATTCTCCACGACTCAATGAATCAAAGTCCTTCCCTCTCCTACATTTCTAAACGTGACAAGTTTAAATATTTCACTCTAAACCCTAAAGTTGCGTGCGCCTTCATGTGGAAAAAAATAACATTGTTGGATTTGTGCACAGCGACATTAAATGCATGTGCCGCAGGATCTGAGATGCATTCATGCAGTCTCACGCACACTTTCAGTGAAAAACACCACCAAATGCTTCAGGGTTCTAGATTGCAGGTTGTTACTCCGCGTTCATTATCCGAAACATGCTTTCAGCCACATCAAACAAGCACCACGCCCTTCACATGACACGCTCGCTTCCCTGACCAGACCTCCGTATGAAATGGCCTGTTGCTCTGCAAAACACGTCACCCCGCCCTTGCACCCGCAGGCCGCGGGGTGTGACGGGTTATTTACTGGCCCCGTTTATTGATTCCAGTCGTCTACAAAAGAAAATGCTAATTTGTGAAGTAAAGAAAATCCGGCACTTAAATTCACGTGACCATGTCACGGAGATGCCAAAGATCGTCACTATGAATGGGCCTGGAGGGCGGGACTCATTCACAAGACTCTGTTCAAATTCCTTCCACAGTTTGTGTGGGAAAAAATACAAAATTGACAGTTACTGCAGTGACAGGTATGACAATGACAATGTTGTGGTTTTGATTCATAGATCACTGTCTCATTTCACACAGGATACTTTCCTACACTTTGACTAGTGCTAGTGAATATATTTATGCTGGTACCACTACCATAATTGTATATGAATATTTGTTATAAACTGTAGTGCTGTTCACAGGACCAAGGTACCTAATTTCGTTCCCTAACATGACAACATGACAATGAACCATCTTGAATCACTGATTTTAATTTACATTAACTATATATGAAGGTGAACATTCTCATCTCATCCTGTGATTCAGGATTTGTGGGCTATGTATCAGCAAACCAGTGTCCGTTACCCTGAGTCCGTTTGCCTGCTTCCATTCCAGCCAATTGCGCGTCGCTGTTCTCATTTAAACACACGGAGTGATTCGGCGCCAGCAAAGACATTAAAACCAGCATAGACATTAAAACCAGCAGAGATATTAAAGCCATAACTCTCATAAAACCTTATGAAGTCATGCAAGCAAGTTATTGAGGGTCAAACTTTATTGCACCTTCATGATATAAGAAGAGGCCATCAGTGTCGTCCTGCAGATTAGTCTTTCCTGGGGAAGGGTGCTGCCTCGCCTTGCTGACATTTGGCAGATGCTATTGTCCAAGTTTCTGATGATGGGGTAATGCTCTAGTAAAAAAATTTCCCCCTCTAGGGTTTTTGGTCTCTGCTCACTGGGCGATTTACAATGATTGAGGGAAATCAGATGTTGGCTTTTAACATATAACGACCTTGACTCTCCTCCATGAGAATGAATTGTTACGATACTAATGATACTGCGGCGAATGGAATAATACACACGGCACTGTGTGACCAATTAAAACTTTAATATTTCTCCAGGTGCCACTATCCATTGTGGTAAATGGTGGGCAGGATTCCGATTGGCTGATTGAGGATGCCTGTAGGGGGCGTCGTCTGCAAGCCTGCACCAGCGTCCAAATCCAGCCAGGCAGAGAAATAACACAGTTAAATCCATCCCATCCTACCCCCCTCACACCATAAATCACACCAAATAGGTCTCAGGCCAATATCATGCAATGCTAAAAAAAAAATGTACTGATAACATGGGATATATTTCATTTTGATTGAAATATCAATGCAGTTTCAATATCATCGCATACATTGGACCGCAGAAGGAAAATGTGTTTATACAAGAGGACAAAGTTTGTAGCTCTAGACTGAAGAAAAAAGGCAGAGTGATATAAAGTATATGGAAGATACAGCCGATCCTCTCATAAGAGCCAAGGTAGCTTCTTCTTAGAAAATGTACTAAGGCAACAACGAATGAGCACCACTTGGACAAACATCAGTCTGTTCATCACCTCATAAGCCTGTCTGCTGCTTCCTGGGCCAGTTCATCTTCCTGCAGCAGCTGGCAAACTCCGAGGCCAGAACACCCTCAATCCCTTCCTCTGCTCGACGGTAATCGACAGTAAACAAGCCTGAGAGTCACGGCCCAAAGTACCAAACGAGTACTTCAGCTGATACTGGTACTCGACCGGAAGTCAATGGAAAAAGGGTAATACTGAGTGTTCAGTACCTGGTATAATGGAAAAACAAGCTTAGGTGTGTGTGTGGGGGGGGGGGGGGGGGGGGCACAGAGAAATCCGAAAAACACAGGTGTGTTGTGCCACCTGGGTTGCCATAGAAACCACCACAGCTGCGGGTCCTGATGAGTGAGACTCCTGCCGGATGAATGACAGACAGACAGACACTTTATTAATCCTAAAGGAAACTGCAGTTTCACTGTAGCACAAATTCACACCTTCAGACAGGTAAAAAGACATTTACACTGCAATAAACAGTAGCAAAAAATACCAGACAACATTAAACAGTAACAGTGCAAAGAATGTCACGGAAAGAATGACATGGAATTCCATCGTTATGGATCAGAAATAAATAGCACTACACAGTGTGTTTTACAGTGAGGAAATGAATGTTCTGTGAATGTTACTAAGCAGTTCTGGTCCATTAAGATGGCTGGCCGTCCCCGCATAGGGTGACTCATTGTGAAGCCTAATGGCCGAGACTGACTAAAGCTACCTGATATCTCCTAAAAACAAGAAAACAATTACCTTAAACGCAGCTCTCGCTGTCATATTTGTACAGCCGATTCGGGCCGAGGCAGAGGGTTCTCCATCTGCAGTCCTGCAGTAGATGGGTTACCGCAAACCACCAGGTCCCTCAGGATTAACTCTCCTACTCGCAACCCAACCTATATGCCTGCGAGGCACGTGATGACAAGCAAGCTGCTTCTCCTTAAGCCCATTACAGACAGCAAAAGCATTCCGCTCACATATGTTCCTGCTTGCGGTCGTAGCCGCCTTTCATGCCCGCGATCTTTCCGACGCAGCCGTCTGAAGGGGTCGGGGATGACGGCGGGTCAGCTTCCAAGCCAGCGATACGGTAAAATCACGGGCCGGCTGAACGCGAGGTGTGGGTCCGTTCCACGGCAGTGCAGGAAATTATGTGAGGCCATATTATAAGGGCCAGAATAAACACTGGATACAAAGAAATAAAGGAAATGACTCAATGATAATAGCTCACTTCGCTTCATTTTCCATATGGGAGAAGCACTAAGGAGTCTTCATCTTCACACTCATTTTTATAGTAGCAAGTGGGAGGACTGGACGCCCATGTCACTCAGCCTCTTTACAGTCTGACAGCGTAAGAATTTATTGGCCATTAACCTCAGCAGCGCTTGCTAATTCTTCAAATGCGAGGAGAGCAAGCCAAACTTTTATGAACGCTGGACTGTGACGGGAAAACAAAGGTAGAATTACACGGTGGTTTCCCCGTCCTTCTTGAGATGGTTTGCTGTGTCCATGAGAGCGGCCGTTTTCCCCCGAAACCCGGTCCTCAGGGGACCCCAAGACACACGGACTGTCTGGGGCTCCCCAAGGACTGGGGTCAGGAAACAGTGAGGAGGCTGAAACAGGCATCGCATGTGAAGCTGAACCGGATGCAATTAAGATTCTGCTGCTGAAAATGGCGATTAAAAAGAGGTAGTAATCTGTAAAAAAAAAGAATCCTACCTCAGGCTGATGACAATGAAGGGATGTGATATTATAACCCTATACATGTACTGTGGCTGTAATTGTATCAATTTATTAACATACTGTAACAGAGAGAGAAAAGTAGCTGCATTATCAAATGTTGAGGTAGAGTTACCCACATTTTCTCAATATAAAAATCATCATATGAGGGAATGCATTGTATACAGCACACAACACACACACACACAAAAAAACAAAGTTAATTCCCCGTTAATACATTCTCCTATCATACTCTATGGCTGTCCTGACATTCTTTTTCTCCTTCCACACATTATTCAGTTCTTGCGGTTTGCTGCCATCAAAAGGTCACATAAAGACTTTAATATCTTATCATCCACCGGCTAATATTAAAAGGGACCCGTTTCCTAAGCTCTCACCCATTTCTGCCAGCTGCGAAAATTCCGCGATTTCCATATTATGCGTATCCCGTGCTGCATAAGGCACAAAAGCGAAATTGGATCATCATATTTTGCATTGTTTGATGCGTCCATTTGGTGGCAGAGGTCGGCAAATCGATCCATCAAAGTTTTGTTTCACGTGCCACATTTTCACGAGCAATTCGCGGTGATTTATGCTGTGTATTATTTCGTAGCTTTTGATTCTGGAGGGAGTTAAAAGGTAGCAGTGGATAATGTGATACATAAAAACAGTACAAAGAACGATATTAAGCAATGATGCCTGTACAACCACGAAAGCCTTTACGGTTGAATTTAATGACCGGCTATACTACTTTGGACGAATTTTGTGATAACTACATAGATTTCATGATAACTGCATAGGTGGACCAGGGGCAGGCGTTTTGGCAGAGCCTGTCTGGCAAGGATGACCGAACGAAGTCATGTTAATTTAGCCTTTGGACGATGGATCTCATGCAAGTCTGCTGCTGCATTAGAAGCGCAGTGAATCATACTGACAAAGTGCATGTACCGCTGGAGTCTTCCTTCCCCAGCATTCCTGTTAACCACAAAATGCTCCATCTTTGTTTTTTATTGGTTTTCCCATCCAGAACAGCTAGTTACGGCCAGGAATACCAGGATGCCGGGTGGCCGGCCCTGAAA